AAGACGGTCCTTCAAAATTCCTGCTTCATAAAAACATCCATCAGATATTCTAGGCCGGTAGGCTGAAAGTGGAAGCCCCATTGTTGTGGAGGAACCTTGGGTGACTGTCAAGGCAGCCAGATGTCTCTGTCATTTCTGCAGGTTTGGAAGTAGTGTGCACTGCACTTCCTGTTTACTCAGATAATACTGTCTTTCTGGAGTCTTTGATAGAGGTAAAGACTAGGTAGTTATAGTTACAGTTTTCCTTAGTTATGACAGAAGGTAAATTAGGTACAGAGTTTTGGATAGAATTAAATAATGGAGTATTTTCTTCAAATATGCAGAATACAAATGGACTGGACATTGTAAATGTAATTCTACAGCAAATACTACTGGCATGTACCACCACAACCGACATAAATGTAATTCTTAATTTGATAATTGTTCTTACTGTATATAATTTTTGTAAGGAAAAAGGGCCAGCCAAAGAAACACACCTGAGCAGAGCCAAAGAAACACACTTTGGCCCTGCAACCAGAACCAAAGAAATGCACTCTGATCCTGAAACCAGTGCCAAAGAAACACACTTTGTCTCTGGAATCAGAGCCAGTGAAAGAAATGCACCCTGGCCCTAACATTAGAGCCAAAAGGTTAAAAAGGACCAGTGAAAGAAACATACTTTGGCCCTGAAACCAGAGCCAAATCTGACCCTAAGCCTCTACAGAAACTAACCAATCCCTGAGTAGGAGATCTAGCCATCCTAAACTCAGGGATTGAAATCTGACCAATCCCCACCCTGGAAATCTCCCTGGAAAAACTCCACCCCCTAGGAAACCTTAAATAAACCCTGTGTCTGTTCTGCTTGTGGCTGCCCAGCAGTCCTCTGGCAGAGAACAGCCACTCTCCTGGATTCTTCCTTCCCAATAAATCTCTTGAAAGAGGTTTGGGCAAGACCTTCTTTTGCAGGAGCAGAGATGTCCCTGGGCGGAGCTGAGCGGAGCTGGGCTGTAACACTTTTTGCTGGGGAACCCTTCCCTGGTGAAGGAAAGTTGTTAAACTCCATCCGCAGGGGCCTGGGGCCAAACTGTAACAACTTTGCTGGGTAAACCCTCTCCTGCTGGAGCAGAGCAGATATACCGGGGAAGCCTTTCCCTAAAGTAGGGCTGTAAGCTGCTATGCTTACTGTGACCTGTGGTATTCCTTGGCTCCCGACTGTCAGGATGCCTTTCCATCAAGCTGTAACACTCAGTATTTTTTAGCTCCCAAGTACCATAAGCCATCCCATCTGATCCATGGAAATGCTTACATTTGGGGCTGGAGAGATGGCTCAGAGGTTAAGAGCACTGACTGCTCTTCCAGAGGTCCTGAGTTCAATTCCCAGCAACCACATGGTGGCTCACAACCATCTGTAATCAGATCTGGTGCCCTCTTCTGGCCTGTGGACATATATGCAGACAGAATACTGTATACATAATAAATAAATAAATCTTTAAAAAGAAAAAGTGACTTTCTAAAAAAAAAAAAGAAATGCTTACATTTGGTGTCGTGACTCGGATAGGCTCTCCTGGTGCCAGTGCTCACCATCGTGGTCTGAGCCTCACTGGGACCCTATCCCTCATCTCCAGTCCACTTGCAACAGGCTCGCCTTCCAGCTCACCAACCGCTCAGCCCTCCATCTACCACCAGCAATTGCGTGAGTTTCCCCTTCAGTCCCCGTAAACATGTCTGTGAGTCCGAGGAAGCGATCGTTGATTTTCTGGCACCCCTCTGGTACCATTAGAGGCCCAGGTCCCCCAAGTCACAGTCCTTAACGTTATGGCTGGCCCTCTTCACCTGACCCCATCACACCACCCTTGGGAATTGCAATCCTGAAGTTTCATTAGGCCCAACTGGGTCATTGCGCCCCCTCCTGACTCTCTTTCCTATCTCCCACAGCTCCTCTAGACCCCTGTGGCTATTGCAACTCCATTCCCGACCCTTTCCTGTGGATAAGATCCCTCTTAGAGCTCAGTTTCCATCTATGCCTTCTGGCTTCTATGAAAGCCCTGGTACCAGGTGCTGGGTCTCCTCTGGCTTAGCCGGACCCCAATTGAGTTGGGTGATGACTCTCTGAATGGCTTGGTCCTCTTTCGGTGGTCCTCCCTGAGTCCTGAGGACACCCTTGACTACAGGCTGCAGTGACCTTTTCCTTCTCATCCATGGGAATGGTGTCATCTATACCCTCTCATTCCCCCTTGGGATGCCTCTTAGAAAACCTCCAGCCTTTACACCTGACACCTAAACTGAAGGGCCCTAAACTTACTTGATTTTGCAACCCAATTTAGCCTAAATACCCCTTAGATAATCAGTCCAAATGACCACGTAATGGCACGCTAGATCCCAATATTATTCGGGACCTTTATAACTACTCAGGGCCATCAGCAAAATGGAAGGAGATTCCCCTTTCCCTACATTCAAACTTTCTCTTTTCTCCACTCCAAGCCCAGTTTTTTGTCTGGTCTTTCCACACACAAATACTGTGTAAATGTCCTGTCTTTTAAGTAACTATTGATGGATCTGTAAGCGTGTTGCTAAGTGGGAGCTGGAAGCTGGATCTGGTAGGGAGGAAAGCAAAGGAGTAGACCAGCTGCAGGATACACTCCTCCCTGGCTGGTGCCTCTCAGCTCTTCCTGCAGTGCCCTCCGTCTAGGGTTCAAAGTTCCTATCTTAAGCCATCTTTGGTAAGCTTACTGGATTCAGTTTTATTGGGTTTCAGGTTTCCTCTAGGTATGAGTGGCATTGGACCATTGTTTTATGCTGTCCCACCTCAATTAAAAGCTGGCTCGGGTTCCCCCTCCTCTAGATCCAAGCATACTTCTTTAAAAGATTTCCTCCAGGGCTAGAGAGACGGCTCAGAGGTTAAGAGCTGGCTGCTCTTCCAGAGGTCCTGAGTTCAATTCCCAGCAACCACATGGTGGTTCACAACCATCTGTAATGAGATCTGGTGCCCTCTTCTAATATGCAGGTAGAACACTGTATACATAATAAATAAATAAATCTTAAAAGATTTCCTCCAAAAATCTTTGTCCCATATCAGGCTAGTCACCTGCTATGTGACAAAAAGGAGACCAAAACAAAACGAAAGGACAGACTGTTCCCAACGGGGACTGTTGGCACTCACTCATCTCATTTTGGCTTTGTTCTGTAACCTTTCACTAAGGTATCTTAAAGGAACCATGTGGTATGATGTCATTTTTTCTAAAAAGGAAACAACTCCTAGCTATGAAGCCCAAACCAGACAATTCCTCCACTATTTTCTATCACACTAGTGAACCCCCCCCCCAATCAGCCTCAACCAGCAGTCCCTTCTCTTTCTCTCCAGCCTTTCTGGTTTCCCTTTCTCCCTCCTTAGCAACAGGCTGCCCACTCAGTCAGGGCTGAATCTATGGCATTAAAGCAGAGTACTCCACTATCACCTATAAGGCCTTGCTCTCTGAATATCAATTGGGTATCCAATAGATTACCCAATCACATAACTTCACCTTCCATGATTATATGATTCTTGCCAACAGTCTCTTCCTGGAGGAGTGCAGATGAATTTGGAACCAGGCTATGGTCCATGTAGATGAAATCCACCAAACTGACAACACCTATCCAGTTGGGGCTATGGCAGTCCCTAACCAGGACCCTGAATGGAAATACAATACCCCAGGGGTCACCCAGGATAAGTATGAAAACCCATCTCAGTTTCTAGACTGCCTTACAAAGGCCCTCTTACAATAACTCCTTATGACTTACTTTTTCCCCAAAGTTACCCTAATATTAGGGCCAAACTTAAACATCTAGAAAAGGAGCCCCTAACTCCACAGGCAGAAGTCTTAGCTGTGGCCTTCAAGGTATACCATGGGACTGATGAAAAATCCCCAAAACAAAAATACCTGATGATGGCTAAGGCCATCAACTGGCCAAGGCAAAAGCCTAGGCTCCCTGGTCTCCTAAAGCCCAGGAACTTCTGTGTCCCTGTTTCAAATGTGGTCGGGAGGGTCACTGGGTCCAGGCCTGTCAGAACCCTCATAAACCACCCAGACCATGTCCAAGGTGCCTTAAGAAGGGCACTGGAGTGCTGGTTACCCCTATGACCCTTGTGGCATGAGGACATCAACGCCAGATCACCTCTCATCTGACCTCCTTGGCCTGGCCATGAATGGCTGGGCTCCCTTGGCCTGACCCCCACCATCTCTGACAGGGAGCCTCAGGTAGTTATCACAGTATTGGGACAACTCATCTCTTTCCTTCTGGACACCAGAGCCACTTTCTCAGTCCTGATGAAGTTCTGGGGACCCATCACTCCTTGCTCCCCTATTGTCGGAATAGGGGGACAGCCTTATCAGGCTCGCTAAACCCCACTTAGTTCTATTTTTTATTTATTTATTTTTTTTGTTTTTCGAGACAGGGTTTCTCTGTATTGTTTTGGAGGCTGTCCTGGAACTCACTCTGTAGACCAGGCTGGCCTTGAACTCACAGAGACCCGCCTGCCTCTGCCTCCGGAGTGCTGGGATCAAAGGCCTGGCCACATAGCTCTGTCTTTAAGGGTATCCCCTTTGCCCTTTCCTTCCTAGAGATACCAACCTGTCCCATCCCACTGCTGGGAAGGGACCTTCCAGCCGAAATGGGAGCCCTTATTTCCTTTGCTCCCCCCATCCACTTGGCCCCAGGCTGGCCAGCCATTCCGCTTCTCCAAACCACACAATCTGACACACTTCTACCCTTGCTAACCTCTCAGGTAGATTCTCAGCTATGGGACACTGAAAACCCCTGCTCACCTGTTAAGAGAAGCTTTTTCTTTTGCTAGCCGCTTTGGTTTATCCCCCGCCAGTCGCCTGGGTTCTGCCGCGCCAGCCTGGTTCTAGATCCGCATGAGTCCCAAATAAACACACAGGAGGCTATATTAATTATGAAGCTGTTGGCCTTGTTTGTCTCTTACTGGCTAGCTCTGCCTTAAGTAATTACCCCATAATTGTTAATCTAAGTCTGTTTCTTACCGGAGAGTAGTTCCCGGCGTCCTACCCCCATGGCGTCACATGTTGACTCTCTTGTGTTTCCCCTTCCCAGAATCCTCCTCGACTCCTAGTCCCTCCTATCTAGGTTTTCTATTGGCCAGACAGTACTTTATTGACAAATGCACAGGCAAATAACAGGACTTCCCCAACATCTCCTCTTTTCTGTTTAAACAAAAGAAAGGTCTTAATTTTAACATAGTCAAATTGTATATGACAGAACAGTTATCAAGTAAGAACATAGTTACAATATTTTAGCAAGATTTAAAGAAAATATCATCTACCTCTTTCTTGTGAATCCAAAGTCCTACATGTAGCTTATCTCTTATCATAACTAAGGTAAACTATAATTATAGCTATCTGTCTTCAACTCTATCAAAGACCACAGAAGGATAATATATAAACACTAGGATTGATAGAGACATCTTACTGCCTGGACAGTCACCCGAAGTTCCTCTGTATTGTCCGGGCATCCATTTTCAGCCCATAGGCCACAATGTGTCTGGAACACTTCTCAGCAAAGCAGGAAATTTCAAACTGTCCATCTGCATCAGCAGTCTGTCAGTCATTTTTCTGTGTCCTGTAGAAAGTCTTGTAGACTCTTCCATGAAGCAGGAACCCTGTAAGACTGAGTTCAGCAGTCACTTTCCTGTGGGTCCTACATGTTCAGTTTATACAACAGTCACGCAGTACAGGCAAGAGCAGTTTCTTGCCCAAATGGCTAATCTTGCCATGTTGAAAGCAAACTCCATAACGAGTTTCTTCGATGCCCATCTTCCTCTCAGACGTAATTGGTGCTGCCAGGAGCAGACATTTCTCATTGTCAAGAAAAACCCTAAACCATTTTAAATGCCATGTTCTGAAGGTCTTTGAGAGGTTTGAAGACTGTCCATCTCAAATATATTTTTGTATATCTAGAAAACCTAACTTACCTAACTATAAATTCTGTTATAAGTAACTATAGTCTGTATTCAATTATGCATTACGTTTTAAAAGATCAGTATAAGCACAATACTTAATCAAGAGGAGAAATATACATATCACAAAATTGACCTTGAATTTGTATCAATAAATGAAAAACAATACCCATAACATAATTCCCTTTTTTACCATTAAAAAGAGATTGGTTGTGATCATTAACCAATTATAAACAATCCCATTTAAATGAAAACAAAGATTTATAAACAAGATGGGAATCAGGACGTCGCTCATTCCAAACTGCTTCCTGCTGGAAGGGGGTGCTGTTCATACCATGGGGATCATGACAAAACTCAGAAACCTGTATAAGTCCGTATTTTCGGGGTCTATAAAGCTCCATCATCTTAGCTGTCTCAATTGTTGGAACACCTGGTCCACTGCTTCCGGGGGTCTTGTTTCGTCAAACCACAGAAGCCTGGAAAAAATCCTCAGCTTTTTATGTTCTGTGGAAACATAAATTAAAACTCCTTTTCCGAGTAACATATCCTTATACTTAAATTTTGAGGTCAAGGCATTTTCAATCGATATAAGTTGGATTAATTCAGCAGCATTCATAAGTGTACTTCAGTAGCTGTTCCTTAGCAATGAAAAAACTGAAAAACATAATAGCATACAGTATCCAGACTCTCTGTGTATTTTCCATCTTTACGTGGTTTATTTATTAATCTACTATTATTATTACTCAATTTCTTTCACTTTTATTTATTTTTCTCTGAGACAGGGTTTCTCTTTGGAAATCCGCCTGCCTCTGCCTCTGGAGCAATTCCTACCAGCGTGCGCCACCACAGCCGGCTTTTTTATTTATTTACCACTTTGTCGTTTCATTTTCTCTCTCAATCTCACATATATTTTTAAACACACTGTAAACCTTTAGAGGTTTTTCTTTATCCAAGTCTGACTTTACAGTAAATCTTTATGTTTTTCTGGCCACGTGTCTTATCTGTAAAACCGCAGCTGTTTTAAACTGCCGTTTCAAGATGGCGGGCGTAAGCGTGACTCCAGCTTACCGCCTCAGTCCATGCTGACCTCCAGCAAAAGCTGCCACTTCCAGCTGTACGTACACCCCTTTCAATCGGTAGCAGAGTCTCTTAAAACAACCTTGCTGTTTTTTTTTTTTTTTTTTCTTTTTATGCTGAGTCAGGAAGACTCCGGTAAACGAGCCACGTGAATCTTGGCTTGTTGATAGCAAAACAGAGCACACCTGAGAAAAATGCTGCTACCAATAATCTGTGCTTCTCTCTGTTCTTCTGTTTCTAAAATTCCTTTAAAGCTTTTGTTATTTTGCGTGGAAATTCATGATCCCACTCCTGACACCTGTTGGCTTTACGGACGCTGTAACGATACGCAACACACAATTACTGAAAATAAGGCTAAGTATTTTATATAGAAAATTACTCACAAGATACCAAACCCCGAGAAGCCCAGCAGATCTCAGCTAGCGACTGGACCGGAAGCCGAACTCCAGGAAAAGAGAGCGAGACTTCCTGTGCGCTGTCTTTTATGCCTTCCCCAGTAACGCCCCTAGCCATGCCCAAAAGTGGGCTTGGCTAGTGACGTAGTTCTGCCTACATACGTATACGTCTTTATGTCCAGCCGTATACGTCTTTAGTCCTGCCTAAAGTGGGTGTGGTTAGCGGTGTGGTAAACCGCCCTTTTATTACCTCATCTGTATGCGCCTCTAGTAAGTCACATGTTTCATGGCGGCATAGACTTCCTCCTACAATTCCCCTTTTAGTCTAAAAAAGGACAACTAACTTGTGTCCATGAACAAAATGTATCAAACATCTATTCTATCTAAACCTAAACTTATCTTAAAGAAACACCCAAATATGAACACCTCCTTCCAATCCCAACTCTAAAATAATGGAAAACTAACACTAACAGGTGTAAACTTATAATATCAATAGTAGGGAGAGGGGGCGTGGAATTCTCAAAACTACTTCCTGCTGAGATGGGACGATGATAATCTCATGGGGACCTGTGAAAAGAAAATGTTAGTATAACAAAATCTGAGTAGATCAGACAGTCTCAGTATGGCAGGAGCTGCTTGATTGAAGTTCCTGACTGGGGTTCTAGTGTTGATTGAAGCTCTTATCTTGAAGCTCTGGTCAGATTGTAGAAGATGTGCTATTTCCGTTCCTTGGTCTGGAGTTGTGTCGAGTGATGTAGTTTCAAGCCAGTTTCAGGATAGTGCTTGTCAGGTGGAGTCAATGATGTGGGGCAATTCAGATGCCTCCAGTCGAATCAGGTGAAGTCAAGGAAGTGGATCCTCATTCTCTTTCGGAAGCAGTTGAAGATTGCTGTCAGGAAATCCCTTGTTCTCTGGAAAACTCAAACATTACTGTTAACAAAGAAATATTTTAACTTTCATATGTAAGCATACAGAAGAGGTGACAATAGGGAAGATGGAAAACCTGGAGGAAATTAGACTGTTCAGAAAAAGAAATCCATAGATAACAGTCCCTTATTTTATTTCTTCTGTCTTATATCAATGGCTCTTTGATATAATACAGAAATTCTGAATTGTATTTAAATAATATGCTTGGGTGTAGAGTAGGAGAGCCAATCCAACTCCAAAGCCAGCTTCAGTTTGATGAATGGGAACTGAGGTATGTGAAGAAATAAAGATAAAAGTGTACTATGAAAAAGCAATATAGAGAGATTTAGACTTTGATACCACACAGTGTGTGTTTGATGGTCCTCAGGGTAGCTATTCATTCTTCTACAGGAATCCATATGTCCAGTATTCTTTGCTGAGTTTACCTGTGAGGACAAAAACAAAACACTTCTCTTTCCTTTTAGGAGGTCACTTTACCCATGGTGGACTATGAATTCGTAGATGGGCTGTTATCTTCCTCCTCCTGAGGTAATTGATTCATCCTCTGGAGCTAATGTATTATCCAGTGCTGTATTATTTACAATGGGCAGTGGATCTTCTAATTGTCCTGGGAGAGGCTGTCCTCCACTGTCACTGGGAATGACCGGATAATCTTTCTCTTCGGGGCTCCATGGAGCCCCGGAAGCCCGTTTCCCTGCTGTAAAGATCTACCTTGTCTGTCTATTGTGGAAAAGCATTCATCAGTCCAATGGCGCCCCTTCCCACACCTCCTGCATAGACCAGGAGGCTTAGGCCTTCTGTTTGATACATTCCTGGTAAAAGCATTATTTCTAGGAATGCGTTGTCTACAGTTCCTACTAAGATGTCCTATTCTACCACAGTTAAAGCATTTTGCATCTTTACGCCTATTTAAATTCTTTGAGATTGCCTTCCCTACCCATGCCTCTATATCATCACAGGTAGGGTATTTGGCATCCTGGTGCCTCCTCAAACCTGTAGAAATAGCTTCACCTACCCAAGCTCCTGTATCCTGACTTTTACATTCCAGGTTCGCTGTATGCAGAACCCATTCCTCCAATGGCGCTGATCTTATTTTTAATGGCCAAATTACCTGCCTGCATTGAGGATTCGCGTTCTCATACGCCAAAGATTCTATAAGAAGACGCCTGGATTCTGGGTTCGCTACCTGTACCTCTACTGCTCTGGATAATCTCTCTAAAAATTCAGTGAACCTTTCCCTTGGGCCCTGTAATACCTTGGTGTAGGGTTGCATTATCTCTCCTGTTTCACAAACCTTATCCAAGGCATTTAAAGCAGCTGTACGGCACAAAGACAACATGTGCTCGTCATATGCAGATTGAACCTGCGTGTCAGCGTAAGGACCCTCCCCAAGAATCTTGTCTTGGGGTACTTCATGACCGTTCTGCAATTCCTGAATCTCAATTGCTTTTGCTTCTTGCCTCCACAAAGCTCTCCATTGAATTTGGCAAGAATTTTCGAGCACTGCAGAGGCTAATTGGGCCCAGTCTTTTGGGGTTACTTTATTTACAGTAGCCCATGAGGTTAGGAGCTCTCTGACAAAGGGAGAATGAAGACCATACATGACAATGGCCTCCTTAATATTTTTTAGATCCTTCATCTGTATAGGCTCCCAGTGATAAGCAATGGGACCATTTGATTGTTTTTTCGTTGCTGGTTTTTCTGATACA